CTCAAAGGAAATCTTGCTAAAATAATGGTGATCATGATATTATAATAATATTTAACATAAAGTTATAGCTGTTGAGTGGGTGTGGTTACATATTTTATAGATTACGTACCTTAAACCGTAAAAGTTCAATTAAGCCCCTATCTGCTTTTTAAGGAGGGTTGGAGGAGTTAGAGATAGGGAAGAGGGGGTAAACGATTGGGGGGGGGCAAAGAAAGGATACTTTTTATCCCAATAATAGGAGGAAATAAGAAAGAAGGGAAAAGGTGGTCATTTTGATCGATAATCTTCTACAAACTGGGAAAATGTTCTTGTATTCGTTTGATGGAAATCTGTTCCTGACATTTCCTGCAAAAGGAATGGCCTTCAAGGTAAGTTGTGGAGGATGTAATAATAGGGGGATCAAGTTACAAATGTAGTCTTCAAAAAATAGAGGCTGTGATCAATGATGGGTAGGGGAAAGGCTGGGGCTTATCGAGCTTTTGTCGCATGTACAGTTGGTGACATTGTGCTGCCAGTGTAGGTGGGAGTGGCCTAGTTTACCATGTAATTGTCTGCGACTACCAGTCGAAATACATTAGCCATTCACTGACTTTTATTTTTTTTAGGAACGTGGGAAGCACAATGTTGCCTGTATCTTTAGAGGCATGGGAAGCATTACAACCTTATCACAGCAAACATTAATCACACAGGCAGTATTTTTTAACTTTGCTTTAATTTTATTCCTTTTGTTAATGTTCGCCACACACTCAAAACTTTTTATAAGTCCACCTTCTATTGGAACTCGTCTTCGTTATAGGAGTTGTTGTGCTTTCTGTGTTATCTTAACACAGTGGAACTATGATTTTTTGAACCTCCTGTGAAAATGGAGATTGGTTTTAGAAAACTATAAGTTAAAAGAATTAGTGAGATATTAAGCTTCGTTTTTCTTGCCATTTTCTGTTTGAGAAAGCCCAAGGCGAAATAAAAAAATAAAGTGACTTTAGGGGAAGGAAAACAAAAACAAAATGAAGACTAAAACTCAAAATTCACAAAAAACCTAATACAGCTGTTTTTTTGGCTGTATTTATGAACTTGTACACGTTGTCGTTGTTACTTGCAACACTTGCACGTTTTTGTAAGTGTAAACTTTAAAATTAATTTAAAAAACCGTATGTATAATGAGCGTTAACCGAGCATTTTAATGACTTTTTGAGGGAGACCGAGCATTTTAGTTGGAAAAATGGAGCATTAAGGTGGAGCATTTTAGTAGGGAAGCAAAAGCATAATGTACAAAAGCCTAGTTGTAAGCTTGCTGTTTCTATGTGAAGCTTATGTTGTAACCTTTTTCCCATAACAAGTAATACTTTGGTCTTCTCGGTATTGATGTACATTTTGTTTTTAGTTTACCATTTCTTGATATTCTCCAAATCATTAGAAAGAGCCTTTAAGTTAAAAAAGTGATATTGCTCCAGTTTGCGCTCAAGGACAGGGTGGTATCGTCAGCATATATATCATGGTGGAGTTGTTCAAATGTAAAGGCATATAATTCACAAATACGAGAAATAAAAAAGGACCGAGGATTGATCCCTGCAGTACCCTCTTGTCTGACAGGTTTCGGCTGAGATGGTATATGTCCTAGTTTCACAAACTGTCGTCACCCTGCTAGATATGATTGAAACCAAGCCATGCTATCTGGGCAGGCACCGTACACCGATATTTTCGTCAGTAATAGATTGTGACTGAGTATGTCGGAAGCTTTATGGAAATCAACAAATACTAGTCCCATTTGCATATTACAGCAGAGCAAAACCTCAACTCATATCGCTGTCCTAAAAAGCCTAGGATTCAGTGTGATAAAATACATTGCTGTAGCAATGACATAGCATAGAAGCGTCAGTAATGTTTGCTTTTCTAGGTTTCTAGGCTCATCGTGGGCACATAATTTACTGAACTTACTTCACCGAAGCAACCTTAATTGAAATAGGTGTGTAATAACAGCTTTAGAAAGGTAAAACTGAGAGAAACGGATAGCAGCGTAGCATAAAACAGTAGTCCCAACTCCTTGGCTGGTCATGCAGTCTATTCCCCCAACATCAGTGTTACAAAGCATACTGCATGGACAAGGAAGGTTAAGCTGCTACTCAAGGCAACTGAAAATGAAACACTGAATTTTGTAAAAAAGAGGAGTTAGAAGAGAATTCAATTTATAGTTTTAAACCATTAGAGGATGTGAAACTGAGAAGCACCGGTTAAAACAAAAAAAATAGTATTGGTGTTAGTGAGAGTAAAATTCTTATAGATTGCCACAATTCCATTTCAAAGCCATGGGGATATGAGGAAATGGAGAACCCAGAGGAGGAAGGTCATTATAGAGGCATTCCGAGATGCAAAAAAGCTCTATTTGTTGGGGGGGGGGGGGGGTGCTCACCTATTTATATGTGAATAATAACCAAAATATATCATCCAACATTATGTTCTAACTGATGATGTCGTGGTTCACACCTATGTAAACATGTACATCGCGTTGGTGACCCCAGTCATGGATGTTATAGACCGAAAACAGCTCTAAAAATGGGTGTAGAAAATAGCATTTTGGTCAGTCTCAGGATTTAGAGAACTGGGTGGCACTCCCCCACCCAGAATTTCTAGGAGTATTTATACTTAAACTCAACAGCAACAACAACAACAACAAGTTTATTCTGTATTACTGTCTTGTACAGGTGTTACTGATTAAAATAACAATAAACAGCTAAATTTAAGGAAATGAAACTCACCTGTTGTGCTATTTAGTGATCTTTTGATTTATTTTTCCTTACCTAGAACCAATTAGCACAATTTTTACTGACATAGTCCGCAGTCCACATTTTATACCGATAAGAAAGACTAGGATGACTAGCATTATAAGGATAGCTAGGGTGACTGAAGTAACTAAGATGAGTTTGATGAACAGGGTGACTTTGTAGGATAGGTTGACTGGGTACCAGGATGAGTTGGTTCAAGGATGACTAGGGTGACTTCATTAACAAGGTTAACTGGGATGACTGGGATATCTAGAATGACTGGCAATGGCTGGGATGACT